CACAATCTTGTGTTTGGTTAGAATCGTCCTAAGAAAAAACATGATAGAATAGTAAAATGCGTTAATTATTTAAAATAATTAAAATTAAAATAATTAACTACTAGTTTATTAGTAAATATGTGAAATTCTTAATACCAGAAGGTGTCGTCATACGAATAGAAGGAGGTTTGAAAGGATACTCCGGTGGGAATAATAAAACACCTATAAATTTTTACCAAATTTATATAAGCATGTTTTTAACAGTACTTAATATGTAAAAGAAATTTAATTGCTCAACGTTTACCATGATACTCTCCATTATGATAAGGTGTGTCAGGAGGTCCTCGTAGAACATAATGCCTAAACAAATAAAAGAAAATAATAATTTTATTAATTTCTCTTATAAAATTAATTTTAATGAAAGTAAGGCGCAAATTACTAGGCTAAAAATCGATCATTATAATTTTCCAGACACCAAGATTAAGTTCATACTAATAATTACCATTCAAGAATGTTTTTTTCTAGCGGTTTTGCTAGCATGTATGGTGGTGGATTCTGACAAGTATGAAAAATAAAGTAAAATAGGTTGAAAATAATCATTTAAAAAACAAAGTAACGAGCATATAATTCACTAACCTTCTGGACGGCCAAGTATTCTTTGGTCAATCTCTTGTAAGCAGCTTTAGTAGCCATTAGCGATATTCTGAGGATCTCCTGCGTTTAAAGGAATAAATAAAATTTGAAAATTTGAACACCTTTATTTGACGTTTTTTCTTTATAAAGTTCTTAAGAAAAGTCTACGTAAAAACAATATTTATTTTGGAAAGAAAAATGTAGAAAGCCACATACAAATACCAATGAATTCCTTGTAGTAAACGGGTCAGTAGTTGGACCATAAATCATGTGATCATAATCTATTATATAATAGTGTTAGTCCAATCATTTTACAAAATGAGTCAATCGGTTTGAACACTAATTTACAGGTAAACTAAACCGGTCAAACTTTCGATCACAAGATGCTTTACACGAGACTTTACAGGCATATAAGAAGATATTAATGATATCTCTATCACAATTTTAATTCTTTTATACAATTATTCGTAGAATAGATAATACATAAATAATACAGTCATATAAACTAATCTACTCAAATTATAATGACGCGTTAGTGATTTTGTGCAGATTCACTATGAACTTTGCATTTAAAAATAAAATCTCTAGTCATAAAAAAAAACTTTTAATATAAATGAATGTGAATGCTATAGTTTCCTTATTTCTATTTTTTTTCAGATTATCGAGACGTTACTGAATAATATATATAATTAACGTAAGTTATTATTATCACTTATGATTTTGTTCAAAAAAAAAAAACCAATTTCAAGCAAGATTACCCCAAGTTCTACGGTCCATAGGACATTGTCCACGGCTACCTTCCGTTTGAAGCCATCTTAGTAAACAGTGCATATGAAACACGTGCGTACATTCGCCCCATACTATAAATTATATTTTTAATTATTAAAATTATTAATATGACACATAAAAAAAAAAAAAATTAAATGGTATGGTAAAAAAAAAAAATAGTAAAAAAGAAACAAAGAAACTCCTTCTTAACTAAGTGGACAATCGTCCCCCGGAGTTTTACAAGTAGGGCAACAACCGTCAAAATGAACGCGACAAATTCCACAAACTTCTTCATTAGGTACATCCCATCGCCAAACTGCTACACCATTCCAACTAATATAAAAATAAAGACATAAATGATATCAATAAATACATATTCTTTAAAATTTAATTTGAAATAGATAAATACCATTTGATTTTTACTTTCATGGTTTATTGCTGAAACATGAGATGATCTTTTTTCGTGAAAATGCATATTCTTTATGTAAGCGTAAAATCTATCATCTTATATCATCTTGTGCTACCAATGATCAATCCGTATATAATAAGCAGTTTTTGATTGGTTATTTGATATCGTAATTCAATTGGTCTGTAAAAGTCACGTTATTATTTCTATTAACTGTTAATAAAGTAACTGTACAGTAGTCTGTCACTGCAAAAAAAAAATCTTGCGTCATTGTACAAATCTTAGTACTAATAAAAATAGCAGAAAGCTAATTTTTACCTACCTACCTACCTACGTACATACGTACGTACGTATAACACTTACCCTAACCTTAACATCAATCCTAATTTTTAATTATTAAAATAAAGCGTACGTACGTATCATTTATCAGGTATGTACGCACGTACTTACATACGTACGTGCGTACGTCAGGGGCGCTAAAATTTAGCAGTCTACGTATAAAAAATATATATATACAGTATATATAGTTATGCATCTTAAGAATTTCAGGATAAAATTTTGGGCAATATGTGATTTGGCCCGAATTATGCTTAATGCTGGCCAAATTCAAAAATTTTGATTATCAGACTATAGAAAGATGCTTTCGACATCCCATCATGATGATATATTCTGTATATTGACTAACTTTTGGTTTTACCAACAATGATTTGATTTACCAAAATGTCTAGTCAACTAAAAAAAAAAAAAAGATAAACATAAAGCATTCATTACTTATCAAAAATTGGCAAGATGGAATAATAGTAAAAATAACAGTTATTGTGTTAAAATTTATCGTAATGATGGAATTGATCAAAAATCGATCGAAAAAACTTGCAATATATATGACCTTACAAAATTGTTATCAACATGGAAATAAGTATTGAAAAGATGAACGTAAAGCATTTTATACATTATTTACTGTGTCAAAAATATTATTTAGATAGGAAAAACTATTTCAATTTAACATTACATTATCGTCAGGGAGGTGAAAAAAGATAAACATAATGCATTCATTAATTATCAATAAATTTGATCTAGATGGAAATGTGAAAATGGAAAAGGATAAACATAAAGCATTTCATTCATTCAATCATGAATCTGCAAAATACTGAACTTTTTTGTATTTATGTTAATCGACTTATCTGTTATTAGCAGCATCAATTCATGAGAACATTGATCCGACTTCTTAA